GGAGGGAGGTTATAGGGGGAAAAGCTGCTATAATTGAAAAGTTGTACTTTGGAAATTTATATTTATTAAATAAAAGTTGAAAAAAAAGAATCAAATCAACCAAAAATATATTTAAATTATTTATGTATTTACATATTTGAGAGGCAGAAGGACAGAGTTCCTTTTCACTGGTGCAGTCTCCAAATGACAGCAAAGCCTCCGGCTCGCCCACAATGAAGCCAAGAGCTCTGAACTCAATTCAGGTCTTCTACTTGCACATCAGAGAACCAACTATCTGAACCATCACCAGCTGCCTCCAAGGGTGCTCATCAACAGGAAACTGGAATTGAGAGCAGAGCCAAGGTTTAAACCAGACACCCTGATATGGGATGCAGACATCCAAACTCACAGCTTACCTGCTAGGCCAAATACCCAACTCCCCAAAATTTCTTTTTTGATTAAGTAATTCTCACTACTGACCCTAAGATTTCTAACTCTAAGCAAATCATTGGAAAATACAATGTGTTTTTAAAAGTAGGACCCCTAGAAAAATCTGGCAACCATGGTCTAACCATTCTTCCGGTGTGTATATACACTTCCTGGTTTGTATAAGTAGATTTATGACTGAGACATTTTCAGTCCATTAGAAACTGTCATTTCATTTCTATAAAATGATGTCAAGCTTCAGGTATTGTCCAAAACAAATTATTTTGTATGTTTAAGGTATTGTAGTACACTAAGTACCATAATTTCATGGAGAAAAGGGATTCAGATACTACAGGAAGACACGGAAATGAATTAAGAACCATGGAAATTCAAGGCCTTGCTCTAGCTACCTAGCTGTGTAGTTAGTTTTGAAAGTCAACCAGTGAGGATATTTTGGTTTGAAATCAGCAAAAGCCTAAATTGAATTAAATAGCAAGGTCCATTTCACATCCCTCATCCTATAGTTCAGATAATAGTTCTTTTTATCCAAAGTAATCTTACTTTACTAATTCGTATTTGAATTTTTATTATCTTCAACATTCTTTCTCATCAGCAGCCACTCAAGGATATCTTTTAAATACTTAACAGAATCTTCATTTTTATTTCAAAAGACAACTAGGAGAGATCTGATATTTTACAAGGAATTGCATTTGATCATGAACTGGAGAATTTACCCTTTCAAATAGAAAAATTAGACCACTGCAGCATGTTTTCTGTAGCAAAGTATAAGGCTTATTAGTGGAAATAGGTCCAAGAACTCAATATTGGACCCACTGGCTGATTCTGTATAGTGCAGAAGCCTATGTTTTATGACCAAGACAATCAAGGTCAAGGAGATGAGGCCAATTGTCTTGGGGAAGGGCGTCTGTCCAGGGCTCCAAGAATTTAGGACTTGAGGAATGTAGGACTCACAAGTGAACTTGCTTTTCTGTAGATATTTTTCAATTATCAAAGTCTTGCTTGAACATCTTTCTCTAACATTCAAACAATTTAACCAATGTGGAAAATATCAAAATTAAAATCCAGGATGCAGTTTTCTAGATCTAATGAATAGCAGGCAAATCCTCAGATAATAAACCAAAATAAAGAATAACATTTCATCAAGAAAAGTTTTAACTTTTTTATGAAGCAGATTTGTTTTTTTCCTTTGTTAAGACAAACAGGAAAAAGTGAGCATCTGTAAAAAAAAACAACTAATTTTAATAAACACATTGCATCTTTAAAAAGATTTTATTTATTTGAGAGGTAGAATTACAGACAGAGAGAGGGAGACAGAGAGAGAGGACTTGCATCTGCTGGTTCACTTACCAATTGGCTGAAATGGCCATAGCTGAGCTGATCAGAAGAGCTTCTTCTGGGTCTCCCACATAGGTGCAGGGGCCCAAGGACTTGCCACCATCTTCTACAGTTTTCCCAGGCCAATATAGAGAGCTGGATCCAAAGAGGAGCAGCTGGGACATAAATCGGCACCTATTTGGGATGCTGGAGGCTTAACCTACTGCACCATAGCACTAGCCACAACACATTAAATTTTTAACATAATATTAGAGCAGTTCACAGTTTATAAAAAGAAAGTGTGTAACTATGAATTTTATTGTATTTTGTTGATGAGACTCCTTGAAGTAAAAATAACTGTTTTCATTATTCACCTAAAAGTAACTTTTACAAAAGTTGTTAACTTATGGCAGCTGTGACATGGGACACACAGGTATTCAGAGTTTTAATAATTGCAATGAAATCAATGAAGAGGCCCAACTGCTTCAAAAATTGCCTGTTCTCTTCATAAATGGTTCTCTGATTTAACAAAGAGAGTTGAAGAATTAACCTGCAATTTACAAGCCATTCTCTGAATTCCATTAAAGGATCAAGGTAATAATATGCAAAATTTTGGACCTATAATAAACTTAGTGTCTAGGACATGTTCTTTATGTTTCACTTATTTCTCATATTTAACACATCATGAAGTAGCTTTGTTCCATTTGTTGTGTACTTTGCTACAAATGACATCATTTTAAGTGAACTATATCAGACTCAGAGAGACAAATATGCTTTCTCACACATTAATAGTAAAAAAAAAAAAGAAGAACTCTCTCAATATGAATGGGAGGAGTCATAGTGGGAGTTAGGATTAAGGAAAATAGGGGAGGCCAGCATGGTGGCATAGCAGTAAGCTGCCGCCTGCAGCTCCAGCATCCCAGTTCCCTTGATTCCCAGTTGCTATGCTTCAGATCCAGCTCCTTGCCATTGAGCCTGGGAAAGCAGAAGAAAATGACAACGACCCACGTCCTTGGTCCCCTCCACCCACATGGCAGACCTGGAAGAAGCTCCGAGCTCCTGGCTTCAGTCTGGCCTAGCTCCAGCCATTGTGGCCATTTGGAGAATGAATCAGTGGATGAAAGATCTCTCTAACCCTCTCCCTCTCTGTAACTCTTGCCTTTTCAAATAAAATAAATAAATCTTTAAAAAACATGGAAAAGAAAATAGGGGACATAGAGTATGGTTTATGGATTGTGACAAATATATTAATATCAAATGTTAATAATAGGGAAAGTTCTATGTGGGGTATATGGGAACTCTGCACAGCTCTATGATTTTTGTGTTGTAAATTTAAAACTTCTGAATTTAAAAGATTTTTTTTTAAAAATGGCTTTGCTCACTTAAACCTGGTGATATGTCAACAAATTTCCAAACTTTTGTGATAGGGTTGTCTAATTGATATGTTAGGCTGCCCCCAATGTTTTCTGAAAACTTAGACAGTGTCCCTTATGTCACTGTCTGTGGCTTACCAAAAGTAATAGTTTCCATCATTATTACTTTTAATTTTAATTAATTAATTTACTTTTATTGAACACACACAGACAGAGAGAGAGAGAGATTTCATTGACTGTTACACTCCCCCAAATGCCTGCAGAAGTGGGGGATGGATCAGGATGAAGCCAGGAACCCATGGACCTGAAACTTCATCTGAGTCTCTTAACATCAAAAACCCAAGTGCTATAGCAGGGCTGCCTCCCAGAATGAACATTAGCATGAGACAGCATTGCTATTTAACATTTGCCTGGGGTGGGCCTTTTGTTAAGTCTCTGCTCTGGGCACTTTCTTACAATATTGGGGTACCTGGATTTGAGTCCCAGCTCTGCTCCTATTCCAGCTTCCTGGAATAACAATAGTGAGGGCTGAGGGCATCCTAAGAAGGGATCACAGAGGCTGCCCCAGGCTGTGTGCCTACCCCATGTAGACCAATTATCTCACAGGTTAGCAGTCTCCTTGGTTTGTTTTAGATAAAGGGATCTTATCCTACTAAGATCCTCAAGATGATGCTTACAAAAGTAGCAAAAGAAAGATCTAAAGTTGGCAGTTTGTGGGGGAAGAAAATCCATTCAGCAGACAACACAAGAATGGAGTTAATCATTCCAAGACAGCGGCATTTCTACATGGAAGCGGTGAATGCCTCTGAAAGACAGAGGGAGCAGGCTGCTCCCAGAGCTCCAAAACAGGTTTGACACTGGAACTTGAAGGGAGTGGCTGTGAGCCGCCATAAAAATGGCCTTGATGAAATAGAAAAGTAGGAACTGAGACAAACAGTTCCAGAAACAGTCCTGGGAAATGGGGAGTAAATTGGTTCACAGAGAAAGCACTTAGCTACTACTCAGAGATAAGGGCGACAGAACATCCTATTATGTACATGGGCCACCCCTCCCCTGTGCTTGCTCAAACTTAACAAAGAAACCGCAAGGCACATAAGGCACATAGCAGGCCGCTTCTCTTCCTCAAACGACCCCCCCCCGTCATACCCTTTGACCTAGTACTTTTCCACTGACTATACCTCCCTACCCGCTTCCAAACTGCCATATTAGGTCAATTGCTGAAAATTATCAAATGAACTTACGCCACCCTATGGTATATTAATTTTGTGGTTTTGCCCTTTAAAAGCTGTGTGAGATAACTGCTCGGGGCTCCTCTCTTTCTCGCCACTTGTGGCAGCCAGCAGAGGGCCCATTTGCGCAAATGAAATAAAACTGCCTCTTGCTTTTTGCATTGCCTGGTCTGGAGTCTGTGTTTCTGGGGTCGTCACAAAAGGGCACCGCTTTTGGGATCCTTCATTTGGGGGCTTGTCCGGGATTTGGGGGACCCCAGACTCCCACACTCCATCGGCCTGACGGAGGTAAGTTCACTTACTTGTATATGCTTGTAATCGTGGTTTGTACTGTTTGTCCTTGTCTGCCAGGGCGACGTGGAATCCGTCCTGGGGCACCTGTACAGGCTCAGTATTGAGAGTATTGGACCAGTGGGGGAGACAGACGTCTCCTGAGACCCCTGGTCCAACCCTGGAGGACGCTCCAGTGGTGGTCTGGGAAGAGGGGAAAGAGAGCATTTCCCTTCTTCCAGGGGAGAGTCTGGCCAGACGGCCACTCCCATCTGAAGTTTTAATTTCGGTCTTGTCTCGGTCTGTTGCCGCACGGCTCGTGATTTGTGTTCTGTGTGTCGCTGTTTTTGTCGTTCTTTATTTCTTACTGTCTCCCCCATCTGTCTTCATGGGGCAACAATTAACAACACCTTTAAGCCTGACTCTAGGACACTGGAAGGAGGTTCGAGAGATTGCCTGCAGTTTGTCGATGGAAGTCCGCAAAAAGGAGTGGGTGGCGCTTTGCACCTCCGAGTGGCCCACTTTCGGTGTCGGGTGGCAGAAGGACGGAACCTTTAACCTCGATTTAATTTTGCAGGTTAAAGACCAAGTCTGCCGTAAGGGTGGAGGGGGACGTCCAGAACAAGTACCATATGTCACGGTGTGGGAGGACTTGACCCGGAAGCCCCCGCTTTGGGTTAAGCCTTTCCTCGCACATGGAGACACCAAAGATTGCCAACAGAAAGATAAGGAGGAAGTTGATGAGGGTCCCAGACCCCCCCCCATTTCCCTCCTCAACTCCCCTAATCCCCGCTCCAGCAGAGACCCCAGTGCAGGGTCCCCCACCAACCTCCGATCTCTATCCCCTAAAAGAACTCCAACCACTAAAAACCGCATGTCCACCCGTCCTTTCGGGTGGACAGGAGGACCTCCTCCTTTTGGATCCCCCGCTGCCTTACAACCGTCCGGCATTGAGGGAGGTGCCTCCCTCTGCCCCGTCCCCGGACTCTACAGTCCAAGAATCAGAGGAACCACAACCCCCTTCCCTACAAGACCCCTCACCGCCAAGTACCCACCTGCATCTTCGCCAAGAGCGGAGGGAAGTGGGGGAACAATGGGCATCCCAGGCATTCCCATTGCATTCGGTGGGGGGGGGAGCTTCAGTACTGGCCATTTTCCACGTCAGATCTCTACAATTGGAAGACCCACAACCCCCCATTTTCGCAGGACCCTCAGGCCCTCACGGGCCTGATTGAGTCGATTCTGTTAACCCACCAACCCACTTGGGATGACTGTCAGCAGCTTTTACAGGCCCTCCTGACCACGGAAGAGCGGCAGCAGGTTTTCACAGAAGCCCGCAAAAATGTGCCGGGGGATCACGACCGCCCCACTCAGCTACCTAATGAGATTGATGAGGTGTTCCCGCTGACTCGACCAAATTGGGACTTCAATACGGCAGCAGGTAGGGAGTGACTCCGTCTCTATCGCCAGGTAGTTGCAGGGTCAAAAACAGGATGAGACAAGGGCAGGCAAGATAGGGACCAGGGAGACAAACGGAGGCCGAGAGTGGAGCGAGACCAGTGCACCTACTGTAAAGAAAGAGGACATTGGGCCAGGGACTGTCCGAACAAGGGACGGCCAAGACCCCAGCAGAGAACCGCTCCGGTCCTGTCATTGGAAGACGACGAATAGGTAGGTCAGGGCCAGGAGCCTCCCCCTGAGCCCCGGGTAACCCTGAAAGTGGGAGGCTGACCAGTCACCTTTCTGGTCGACACAGGAGCCCAGCATTCAGTTCTTACCACCGCTAGGGGCCCTCTCAGTTCCAAGACATCATGGGTCCAGGGGGCCACTGGAGGAAAACTGTACAAATGGACTACTGAGCGTAAGGTCGACCTAGCAACAGGGCGGGTCACGCATTCGTTCCTACTAGTACCAGACTGCCCATACCCCCTGCTGGGAAGGGATCTGCTCTCAAAGGTTGGGGCCCAGATCCATTTCCAAGACAAGGGAGCCACAGTAGTCGGCCCCGCAGGCCAACCCCTCCATGTGTTGACCCTCTGGCTGGAAAACGAACACCGCCTTCACGAGTGCCCCCTATCAGCTCAGCCCCAAGTAGCATCTGAATGGCTTACTAAATTCCCTCAGTCTTGGGCGGAGAAGGTAGGAGTAGGGCTTGCTATCAGACAGCCCCTGGTGATAGTAAACCTGAAGCCCACGGCCACTCCCGTATCTATCCGCCAATACCCTATGGCTACGGAGGCAAAGGTCGGAATTCGGCCACACATACAGAGACTAATAAAACTGGGCATATTGAGACCTTGTCAGTCACCTTGGAATACCCCTTTGTTACCAGTCAAAAGGCCTGGCTCCAATGATTACAGGCCAGTGCAAGACCTACGGGAAGTAAACCGTAGGGCTGAGGACATTCACCCCACGGTCCCTAACCCGTACAACCTGCTGAGCACCCTGCCCCCCACCCGAACTTGGTATACGGTGCTTGACTTGAAAGATGCCTTCTTTTGCTTAAGACTGAGTCCCCAGAGTCAACCTCTCTTTGCCTTCGAGTGGAAAGACCCGGAGACTGGGTTTTCGGGACAACTAACATGGACCAGGCTTCCCCAAGGGTTCAAGAACTCCCCTACGCTGTTTGATGAAGCCCTACACCAGGACTTGGTGGATTTCTGGGTAAGCCACCCAGAGTTGACTCTCCTACAGTACGTGGATGACCTATTGTTAGCTGCAGAGACTGAGCAGGGTTGCACCAAAGGTACGGAGGCCCTACTCCGTAGGCTGGGAGAGCTAGGATACAGGGCTTCCGCGAAGAAGGCCCAACTTTGCACCCAACGCGTGACCTACCTGGGCTACGTATTGGAGGGGGGTCGGAGGTGGCTGACTGAGGAACGTAAAAAGGCCGTAGCGCTCATCCCGCCACCTAAAAATGCTCGCCACCTCAGGGAGTTCTTGGGCAGCGCCGGTTTCTGCCACCTCTGGATACCGGGTTTTGCGGAGATGGCAGCGTCCCTGTACCCCCTAACCAGGACAAATTCCCCGTTCATCTGGGGAAGGGAACAACAATTGGCTTTTGACAGAATAAAACGAGCCCTCTTGGAGGCCCCTGCATTAAGCCTCCCAGACCCCGCTAAGCCCTTTACCCTCTATGTGGATGAGAAAGGGGGAATGGCAAAGGGTGTCTTAACTCAGAATTTGGGGCCCTGGAAAAGACCTGTGGCGTATTTTTCAAAGAAACTGGACAGTGTCGCCTCGGGGTGGCCCCCTTGCCTCCGCATGATTGCGGCTGTGGCCGTCTTGGTGAAAGACTTGGACAAATTGACTCTGGGGCAACCACTCACCATAGTGGCGCCCCATGCCATCGAGGCCGTCATCGCCAACTGCCAGACAGATGGCTCTCGAACGCCAGGATCACCCACTACCAGGCCATGCTGCTCAACCCTGAACGGGTCTGGTATGGGACTGCTGCCTCGCTCAAACCGGCCACCCTGCTTCCTGAGCCGGGGTCTGAATCACAAGTCAACCACGACTGCCACCAAGTGTTAGCCGAAGTGCATGGGACCCGAGAGGACCTGACCGATCTTCCCCTGTCAAACGCAGTCACCTGGTATACGGACGGGAGCAGCTTCTTGCACCAAGGTGAGAGAAAGGCAGGGGCTGCGGTGGTTGATAGGGAAACTGTCACATGGGCCTCTGCTCTGCCCCCAGGGACTTCGGCACAGAAGGCTGAACTTGTGGCCCTCACCCAAGCACTTTGTGCCGCTAAGAATCGGAGGGTAAACATTTATACCGACAGCCGTTATGCCTTTGCCACTGCGCATATACACGGGGAAATATATCAGAGGAGAGGGTTGCTAACCTCAGGGGGCAAGGACATTAAAAATAAGCAGGAGATCCTAGACCTCCTACAAGCCCTCCACCTTCCAAAGAAAGTGAGCATCATCCACTGGCCAGGTCATCAGAAAGGAGATGACGCAGTGGCCAAGGGGAATAGAATGGCGGATGAGGTAGCTACAACAAGGGCCCTGGACAGCATCACTCTAGTAACGCAGTCATCTGAAACCTCAAATAACCCTGGGTGGTCATATTCAGAGCAAGATGTGACAGCCATCCAAAGACTGGGAGGCACGTACAATGACCAGCGTAAGGTCTGGGAGATCCAGGGGAAAACAGTATTGCCAAGAAAGGAAGCCAAGGACCTCATAAAAGGCCTCCATAGATGGACCCACTTGGGACATAAAAAGTTAAAAGCCCTACTGGACAGAGAGGAACTAACCTACTTCATAATAGGACTGGACTCACAAGTAAAACAAGCGGCAGAATCCTGCGTGCCTTGTGCAAAAGTAAATCCAAAGTGTATTAAAGTACCAGAGGGAGCAAGGATGCGAGGGGCACGCCCGGGAACAAACTGGGAGGTGGATTTTACCGAGATCCATCCCAGTAGGTATGGACTTAAGTATCTCCTAGTATTTGTAGACACTTTTTCCGGCTGGACAGAGGCTTTTCTGGTAAAAAAGGAAACAGTGCAGGTGGTGGTGAAGAAAATCCTGGAAGAAATCTTTCCGCGATTTGGCCTGCCTAAGGTACTGGGATCCGATAATCCCAGGTAAGTCAGTTGTTGGCCAAAGTACTGGGGATTGATTGGAAATTGCATTGCACGTACGGACCCCAGAACTCAGGACAGGTAGAGCGCATGAATAGAACAATTAAGGAGACCTTAACCAAATTAATGATGGAGACTGGCACTAGAGATTGGGTCGAGTTTGCTACCGATGGCCTTATTCCGGGCCCGCAACACTCCCTCCGCGTTCGGGTTGACTCCGTATGAAATACTGTACAGAGGCCCTCCCCCAATAGCTGACTTGTTGGGACCCAGCATTGACTCTTATGCCACTTCCCCTAGTTTGCAGGCCCGACTGAGAGCTTTGCAGCTGATTCAGAGGCACGTGTGGAAATCTCTAGCAGCAGTATACCAATCCAAGTGCCCCACAGTGCCACACCCTTTCCAGATCAGAGATTTAGTTTATGTCCGCAGACATCAGTCCAGGACCCTCGAACCCCGTTGAAAGGGACCCTACACTGTGCTGCTGACGACACCCACTACGGTGAAAGTCGACGGAATTGCTGCTTGGGTTCACGCTTCTCACGTCAAGAGGGCACCGCCGGAGGGAGGTGGCCCCACGGACGACTCAGCCAAATGGAAACTCCAGTGCACTCAAAACCCCCTCAAGATAAGACTTTTGAAAGCTGCCTAATGTTTGTAATCATTAACCTGTTGCCTGTATTGCTTATGATTCACCCCAGTCTCAGTCTCCCCCTATCCAGTCCGTCCCTTTCTAACCCCCAGGGGCCGCAAAAGCTCACTTGGGAAGTGGTCTCCCCCTTAGGTAGCGTGGCCTGGTCGATCAGCGACACTCGGGTGCCAGGGACGTGGTGGCCTTCTCTCCACCCAGACGTATGCCAATTAGTCCTGGGGCTGGATACCTGGGATTTACCCGATCTCGACAGTCTGTCCGGGAGTCTGTCGGGAACCGGGGGAGGGTCCAGGTAGGCGGGATGTCGTAGTGCGGAAAGGAGGTGCCGATTACGTCAACTTGAATTCTATGTGTGCCCCGGGGATGGTAGAAGACAGGATCAGATCTTCCGGTGCAGGGGACCGGAGTCCTTATATTGTAAGGCTTGGGGGTGCGAAACTACCAGGGCGGCATACTGGAAGCCTACCTTTTCTTGGGACTGGATTATTGTACAGCGTAACTTCACTCCTGAAGGAGGTCCCCACCTTGACCTTCCCGATGGAGATGAGGCGTGTGACCGCAACACCATCGGATGGGCCAGCCCATGTGGAAGGTCCCCTACATGCAATCCCCTTAATATTACCTTTACCACCCCAGGAAAACAATACGCAACGCTGTCCAGTTGGGTAAAAGAGAGAATCTGGGGGTTGCGCTATTATGTCCCGGGAAATAATTTTGGATTTTGGTTCAAAATTAGACTAAAAATCACCCCTCCTGACCCCCTACTGGTAGGACCCAACAGGGCTCTGGCCCCTGCCTACCAACCGAGCCACCCCCAGCCCGAAGGTGATTTACCACCCAGAAAACACACTTGAGGAGCAGTATGACAGTGCTATAACCAGGTTCCGTAGGGAGCCGGCCTCTGTGACCCTAGCAGTGCTACTGAGCTTTGGGGTAGTGACCGCTGGGCTGGGCACAGGGATGGCCGCCCTAACCCAGGGAAGCAGCGGGCTGGCAATCCTTCAACAGGCGGTGGACGCGGATATAATGGAAATAGAACAGAACCTCCAACGACCACAAGAGTCCCTCACCTCCCTCTCAGAGGTAGTACTCCAAAATCGCAGGGGCTTAGACCTGTTGTTTCTAAAAGAAGGAGGGTTATGTGCTACCCTCAAAGAAGAATGCTGCTTCTATATAGACCACTCCGGGGTAGTAAAAGATTCTTTAGCCAAACTGAGAGAGCAGCTGGAAAACAGACGACGAGAACAAGAACAGACTCAGAACTGGTTTGAGGGATGGTATAACAGGTCACCCTGGCTGACAACCTTGCTCTCCACCATAGTGGGCCCCCTTATTATCTTAATCCTAATTCTGACCTTCGGGCCATGCATTATAAACAGATTACTCCAGTTTGTTAGGGATCGGCTGTCCACCGTGCAGGCATTAGTCCTCACCCAGCAGTATCAAGCCCTGGCCACCAGTGACCGTATTGAAACCCCTCATCAACAGCTTTGACAGTAACAAGCACACAATTTTAGGATTAAAATTAGTTCAAAGAGAAAATGGGGGAATGAAGGGAGCAGCCGTGAGCTGCCATAAAAATGGCCTTGATGAAATAGAAAAGTAGGAACTGAGACAAACAGTTCCAGAAACAGTCCTGGGAAATGGGGAGTAAACTGGTTCACAGAGAAAGCACTTAGCTACTACTCAGAGATAAGGGCGACAGAACATCCTGTTATGTACATGGGCCGCCCCTCCCCTGTGCTTGCTCAAACTTAACAAAGAAACTGCAAGGCACATAAGGCACATAGCAGGCCGCTTCTCTTCCTCAAACGACCCCCCACCCCATCATACTCTTTGACCTAGTACTTTTCCACTGACTATACCTCCCTACCTGCTTCCAAACTGCCATATTAGGTCAATTGCTGAAAATTATCCAATGAACTTATGCCACCCTATGGTATGTTAATTTTGTGGTTTTGCCCCTTAAAAGCTGTGTGAGATAACTGCTCAGGGCTCCTCTCTTTCTCGCCGCTTGCGGCAGACAGCAGAGGGCCCATTTGCGCAAATGAAATAAAACTGCCTCTTGCTTTTTGCATCGCCTGGTCTGGAGTCTGTGTTTCTGGGGTCGTCACAAAAGGGCACCGCTTTTGGGGTCCTTCAGAACTAAAACAGAAAAAAGAAGTAAATGAAATCAGTGAATCCCTGAAAACCCAAATGTCTGAAATTCCACTGTTCTGTGACATCTTAATGCACCAAGTTCATACCATCCAAGAGTGTTGACAATAAGAAATCACTCATCTCCCAGCATGGAGAATAGGAGTGAAAACTCCTCTGCTCTTAGTGCTAAGTGGCACACATTGATCACAACACTCAAGGAATCTGTGACAATAGCCAATGCCAAGTTTAAACATGAGACCTTTCGACTAGTCCATTCATTACCTTCAGTTTCTCCTGTGTCACTTTCTCCTGTTCAAATGGAGAAGCATTCTGTCAGCTACCCTGGTTCTTGAAGTTCAAAAAGTTGCCACCGTATAAAAGGACCAGTGTCTACACTTCACCCATCCTCCTAGTGACACAGTCTGATATACCTGTTCACTGTTCAAGAAATATACTTAATTGAGACTTGACATCAGCAACCATTCCTGAAGAAAACATACTTATGGGAAAAGAAATCTGAATGGGAAGTTCCTCTTCCATTCTCTTCCTGAGGAAACCAAAGTGTCCAGCTTCCTTGAAGCATTGCGATGTTAAGGCTGTAGTGATTCACTGGTTGTCATAGGGAATAGTGTTTCCCTCACTTAGGATTTGTCTGTACTTTATAGAACACTGTAAACAAAAATCTATAAAACAAAACTGTAAACAAAAATCTATAAACAAAATCCCTACATACTTTTGCAATCTATTTTTCTTTATATTTATATATATATATATTATAGTTTATTTGCAGCAGTTGTTTTTAACAACTTCATAGTATGAATGTACATCTTTAAAAAAAACCTGCAAATAATGGTATAACATTTTGACATCTGTAAGGACAAATGTAGATATTTTTGAAAAACACTGCAAGGTACTGACAGATCAGTCCCTGAATATTGTGTTTTATAAACAAGAAATCTTACACAGCTTCAATTTGATGGAAATATGATATATGTAACTTGTGACATGGATCAAATTGTAACTTAATTAACCCCAACTAAAACTGGGGAATAAATTGCATTGTATTCCTTTAAGTAAACAGAACTCTTAAGATTCTAATTATCTTTATCCTGAAAACCACCACATTGAATATTTTTGAAACCCAGATGGTGATGTCCTTCATATGTGAAGTTGACAATATTGAATTTTCAATAACAAATATTGGTTTCCAATATTTCATTTTTATTGGTTTATTTTGTGTTATGTCAAAAGAAGACCTCACCCTAAAATCTGTGACTACCGAATTTAAGATATATACATATTATTATTCACATTGTTCTAGAAAAGAGGCTAATGCTGATCTTGCTCACTTTATAATGGAGAAATAATCACTTCTAGTAGAAAAGAACATATACTGAGGAATGCTATACAAGCCTTCTTGAAAGAGACACAGTCTACCAAGTATGACTGAATTAGTCTAAAATATGATTCTGATTAGACACACACATGTACACACAAAACATCGCCTGTAAATATACAATTTGTGATATATTCTTCTCAATTGGATTTGCTTAATCAGAATATAAAATTTCATAAAAACCATAGCTCAACAGATCAAAATTACCACACTCATAATATTGCAAACATAATTAACTTTGAATTATGTGAATTAACAGTGCCTAACAAATTATCATTCAGCTCTGAAATTAAATTCTTTCGTACCATTAGATTTGTTTGTTAGGCTCAAGTAGGCAAAAGTAGTATTAAAGAAAGTAATAATGGTGCTTTGCTGAGGTCCCATTGAGAAACATATAGATTTATCTAAAATGAATCAAAGAAATTCCATTATTAGCTAATTTGTGTATATCATAGCATCTACATAATAAAATTAAGGGTAAAGTATGAGACCCTTACAGAGTACTGTGGGTTTATTACAGGAAGCCTTTTCTAAATTACCTCTTTAATTAGGTATTTTACAGGATTATGTTGATTATATTTTGTTTGCCTTCATGTAATACAAATATATATAATATTGCTTTAGATTCATAGATATTTTTCTGTAACTTGTACTAGCACCTCCATTTTAAAAAACAAAAGTTCAGGGTAATCTAAATTTCAGTTCACACAATACATATCAATAATCCATTCCATCAGTTTCCAAATATATTTGAAGTTAGTGAACAAAAAGCCAAAGAATAATATTCAAATATCTTGATGTGGTCAAGGAAATTAGAATAAAAAACTTATTTTTTAGAGTCTATCCATGTAAATTCTCATGTGTATTTAGACTGAAATTTTTTTTTAATTTTTTATTTAGTAAATATAAATTTCAAAACTACAGGTTATGGATTACAATGGCTTTCCCCCCCATAACTTCCCTCCCACTCGCACCCCTCCCATCTCCCGCTCCCTCTCCCATTCCATTCACATCAAGATTCATTTTCAATTCTCTTTATATACAGAAGATCAATTTAGTATATATTAAGTAAAGATTTCATCAGTTTGCACCCACACAGAAACACAAAGTGTAAAATACTGTTTCACTACTAGTTATAGCATTACTTCACATTGGACAACACACTAAGGACAGATCCCACATGAGAAGTAAGTACACAGTGACTCCTGTTGTTGACTTAACAATTTGACACTCTTGTTTATGGCGTCAGTAATCTCCCTAGGCTCTAGTCATGAGTTGCCAAGGCTGTGGAAGGCTTTTCAGTTCACTGACTTCGATCTTATTCCGACAGGATCATAGTCAAAGTGGAAGTTCTCTCCTCCCTTCAGAGAAAGGTACCTCCTTCTTTGATGGCCCCATTCTTTCCACTGGGATCTCACTCGCAGAGATCTTCCATTTAGGTCTTCCTTTATGGGACATGTACTCT